TTTTTTTGGGTAATGTAGAAAGAAGGTGAGGTAAAGGTAGAAAACCATGTGATATTAGTGTTGCAATTTAAATTTATTTTCATTTTTGTTGTGGTGGAGGAAAAGTGGGATTTTGGACGAGGGTCGGTCAAAAAGATTGGGGAAGGGAATCCCAATTTGATTAAAGGGAAAGTGTGAAAGACAAAAGAAAAGGATTTGATTGTGTGTATTGATATGGGGACATAAGATGTATTAGTCCTTTAAAAATCTACTTAGGTCCTAGATTAAGGTTTGTTGATTTGGTTGGGATGTGATGTGGATTCATATGTTATTAGCTACATTGTATAATTAATTGTCTACTTGGTGTTAAGTGAAAATTCACCTTTTTCAGTATTTTTATGCATTCCTTTATATGCTATGCTAAGAACATGTCGATCTGAGTTAGTCTATTATGAAAGTTTGACTTTGCACCCCACTGTCAATGATCTCATCGACTATTAAAACCGATTATCTGGATGAATGTCTTGACACGTGATGCTATGCATGTAGCGGACTTGTTCAAAGTCTGCCAAGCGTATGCTTATGTTGTTTCTGTGAATAAATAGCCGTGCACGATACTTGAAAGGGGCATCAGTTCCTCAATGGATGTCCATCAAATTCACCAATTCCTAATCGTATAAGTTGATGTAGGGAAGTCATATTAGAAATAGCGCAAATGCTCATTGTAAAAAGAGATATGGAAATGATTCACGCTTATGAACAAACCTCAGTGTAAGCTTATAAGCAAACATCCAATTCGTCGACCGTATTACCGTCTTTATAAATTTTATTTTTCATGTACCCCCAAATAGCATATCTTTTCTTCATAACCTTGCTGATAAAATCACATGTCAACAAATTGACACTAGAGGAAGGGCCGACTCCCTCCGTTTCGTTACCTTCCCCGTTTTTTTGGCGCAAATATTCACTCTTCAATAAGCCCCATAAGTGTCGTCATTTTGCACCTTCATATCCTACCATAATGTTTGTCACATTAGGCATAATTTTGTTTGCCTCGTTATGTTTCTGGTATTAGTTCACTTTAACAAGAATACATATCAATTAGCCCACCCTTAACAAGAACGTTATGAGGGAGGAAATATCGATTCTAAGAGAATAAAGGCTACATGGTAGTTGGACGACCTAAAGGTGGCTCTGGGAAGCTGATCATTTTGAAACCTCTTCACTAGTCCTTTCTTAAAAACGTAAGGCATATGACCGAGCGATCAACCTATCGATCTGGGAAGTAATAGTCTTATCACGCTCGACGACCTGTGGCTCAATCCACCTGTCTGGGCCAAGATGAGAAATGAGGGACGAATGAAGTAATTTCAATGAGTAACCTCAATCTCACGAGATCAACCAAAAAGGTCAATTTATATTCCAAGGTGTCCTCAACTCAGATCGTCAATAGTCTATCCCGACATGGCTAGTCCTGAGATCGACGACAAAATGACGTGCCTCACACTAAACAACACCAAAAAGGCATATCGTATTGGGGTATAATGTAAGAGCTCGTCTTTAAGTTTCTGACGATACAATTTTGAATGAGAATTCACGTTTTAGTCAAATGCATGTTTGCAGTTAATTTATTTATGCGAACATTGTTCCTTTATTATACATTGTAGATAATATGGTTTCGTGTGTGGAACAGTAAGATCATATTATCGGTGTCTTGTAAAATATAAATTGATGGTTCATAGTCTAGATGGGATTGAACTCCCTAGTCGTGAAAGATTGTAGTGTGAATCTTGGAATTAGTTGATTTTAGACTAATAGATTACACTAGTACATTTCGTATGTATTGAACGACCCACAGGAGGATATGATTATTTTATGCAGACCAAGTAAATAATCTAGACCTCATTAAATGTTGTGTATTCTTAACTCATAAGACAATGTACGGGTTTATGTAGTCAACACTTACTTATTTGATTTATCAAGGGTTGGTTGGTCGACACACTCGATATTTTAGTAAGTAATGTTGGCTGCATGATGTGCCGTCAAACGTGTAAATTTGGTTACAAAAATTTGGTCAATCATTTAACGAATAAAACGTTTGAGATTCCTTTGAAATCTTTCAATAGAAACCAAATATGAGATTTTCTAGTACTTATGATTAGGATAAAGCAAGTAAATTCACAAACACATGTAACACGATATTTAGAAAACCACAAAGATTACAAACTCAAGCGGCATTTATTCTTAAACGGATGGAGTAAGAAGATAGTAAAGTGTAAATATCATATATACAAGTTATTATTAGAAAAAAAAAAAATAATTCAATAGGACGAAATCACACAACATATTTACAAATTGAGAGCCACTGATTCTCTCGTTGAGAGCCACCGATTTCCGATTTCTTCCATTTTCCCTTGAATTCCTTGTGTTCTTTCTCATTGTTATTTTCCATTCCCATTTCTATTTCTTTGGTGCTTCTGCAGTGACCTAGGTGGGTTTTTTCCTCGTGTTGGAGTGATTTAGGGTTTTCTGAATGGAGCCGGATGATGAGCTATCATCGAGACTGGAAGACTTCTCTCTGGCAGATAGGGAAGTTAATATCATCGACATCGCCCAAGCCGACATCAAATTGAGTGATGATGAGTGTCAGAGGAGCCTGTTTGGTAAGATTATTGGGGACATAATTGCAGGGTGGTTTGGGATGAAGAAAGCTATGGCCCATATATGGCGTTTAAATCAACCTATGGAAGTAAAAGAGCTCAGTCCTAATTTCTTTCAGTTTATTTTTCAAAGCAAAGAAGATAAGGAGAGAGTTGCTAGTGGCTCCAACTGGAGCTTTGAGAATCAATATCTCATACTCAGAGAATGGACAATGAATCTCACTGCTAATCACCCTTGCTTCAAAGAAATTCAACTTTGGGCACAAGTCACTAATATCCCACTCAACTGGATAAGTGCTGAGGTTGGAATGAAAATCGGTAAGACCTTCAAAAATGTCAGCAATGTGGTGGTGGTTAACACAGGACATCATGGAGGTAAGCTGTTACGATTGCTGGTTACTCTCAACCTGGAAGAGCCTATCCCCCGAATTACAACTATCAGATTGGGAGAGCAGATTGTAAGAGTGGGATTTAAATACGAAAAACTTCTGAACCTATGCCACTATTGTGACAAAATTGGGCATTTGGATCGGACCTGTCAGAGAAGAATTCAAGATATCAAAAATAAGACTCTTAAGGAAGGTCAGTATGGTGATTGGTTAAGAGCTGTGGACAGTCCAAGATGGTTGGGACCAGGGTCAGGAAGCAGAAGCTCACCTCCTACTCACTCACAATCCAATTCTCCTCAGAGAACCACACATAGAGCATCCACTAGCCAAGCAGAGCACAACACTCAAATTATTCCCATTCAAGGGGATACACAAGCAGCTCTAAATCCTCACATTAATCCTTCTCCTGGTCAGGTGAATACAACAGCTTCAATATCTTCATCTAATACTTCACCAAGACTTATGGAAACTCATGGAAATGCTGCATTGGCTATTACTGAGCAAGTGGCTGTGATGGAAGCTGAATCTCAGGAGCCCTAAAATGATCTAGCTTTGACTGTCAGTAAAGAGGCAGTTCCTAAGCCGGTGCCAGTGATCTCAAAGACTTAGAAGAGGATAGGCACCAAAGCAAGTAGGCTTCAAAGAGAACCTGTTTCACCTATTATGATTGATAACATTATTGGAACTAAGAGGATTTCCTCTGAGGGTGAGCAGCAACCTGTTGCTAAATTACCCAAGCTTCTCAAACAAGGTGAAAGTTCTACTCAGATTAACAATTCTGAAGAGGTGGGGGTTGCCAGCCTTGAGTGGCACCCAAGTGGTCAATGTTAGCCATGGTGTTGAATTGTAGAGGGCTGGGTGGGCCCTCTACAATTTCCCAAACCAGAGAGTTATTGAAAACTCATCACCCAAATTTTCTCTTCCTCTTTGAAACCAAAAAATCTAAAGCTTTTGTTAGTACTGTTAGTAAAAAATTGGGTTTTGAGGACATGTTTTTTACTGTAAATCCTTCTGGACTTAGTGGTGGCCTGGCCTTATTTTGGAAAGCCAATGTTTGTATTAAGCAAATTTTATATAAAGACTTTTATATAGCTGTGGAATTCCTTTTGCCTCATGCTGCAACCCACTGGGGGATTTTTATTTATCTTAGTCCTATCAAATCTATCAGAGTTGCACAATGGGAAGTTTTGATTGCAGACAAAGCATCTTGGGGTAGCAGTTGGTTTGCAATAGGGGACTGGAATGATATTCTATCATCCTCAGATAAAGCAGGGGGTATCTTCAGACATCCTAGTTCCTTTGAGGATTTTATTCATTTCACTAAAAGTATGGCTATGGAGGAAATTAAGATGGAGGGGCCTGCTTTCACTTGGTGCAACAATCGAGCAATTCCTGAGTTGATTGAGGAAAAATTGGACAGGGCTTTTGGCTCTTGGGAGTGGAATCAACAACATCCAAATGCCTTTGTTTTGAATCAGATCAGAAGTGCCTCAGACCACACTGCCCTGCTTCTGGATCAAGGTCTTCCAAGGGAGAGAAAAAAATCAATGTTCCATTTTGATAAAAGATGGCTTGGCATGGAAGGCTGTAAGGAGGTGGTTGAAAAGGCTTGGCATATCGAGGTCCAAGGTACCCCTTAGTTCATTCTGAAAGAAAAAGTCAAGAATACAAGATTAGCTCTCCTCAAG